TTTTTTTGAGACAGAGTCTTGTTCTGTCGCCAGGTACCAGGCTGGAGTGCAGTGGCGCAATCTTGGCTCACTGCAATCTCCACCTCCTGGGTTCAAGCAATTCTCCTGCCTCAGTTTCATAAGTAGCTGGGACTACAAGCGCGGGCGACCATGCCCAGCTAATTTTTGTATTTTTTAGTAGAGACAGCGTTTCGCCATGTTGGCCAGGATGGTCTCGATCTCTTGACCTTGTGATCCGCCCGCCTCAGCCTCCCAAAGTGCTGGGATTATAGGTGTGAGCCAGCATGCCCGGCTGTTAAATCTTCAGTAGCCCATTTTGCAGGGGAGAACGGTGAGGTACAAAGAGGTAAAGTAATTTGCTGGAGGTAAAGGTGTGAATCCAGGTGCTCCGACACTCAGATTGACACTCTGAGCTTTGCACTTGGGGCAGGGAGGAGGACTAGCACCACTTTCTGAGGTCTCCACTTTTGTGACTCCACCTGCAGCCTATTCTCCCAGTTGCCCCCCTTTTAATTTCTCACCTCCCTTCACCCCACCCATGTCTTTGACTTGTCATCATCTTCTCTTCTTTCAAATCCTGATTTAAAGGGAGACACACAGGCACTCCAGGCAGCACCAGGGTTTTACGCCCGGGGCTGGGAATTTCAGCAGTATCCCACACACTGGCATCCCTTTAGGGGAACCATGGCTTTTGCAGCTGAGGCCTCTGTAGGCAGCAAGTTTCAGTGGTCACTACTGAGATGGTAAGGTGGGGACAGGGGAAGAGGGTATTTGTGGCCTTGATACCAGAGAAAGACAAGGGATACCCTGTTTTGAGGTAGGGGGGTACAGGCAGAGGGAGATGGGCACTGACCTCTGATTCATTAGCCTGGAACCCTTAGGGAAGTTTTCCTGGGAATTCTTGCAGAAGGCAGAAATGGAGCAACGAATCCTTTTGTTCCACACTGAACTGGAGGTGGAACTGGGATAAAAGGTCAAACAATTTGTGGATAATCCAGAGGTTTATTCTCAGATCCTCCTCTTTTCCATCTCCTAATAAAGACTTAAGCTTTGTCACACCCAGCTCTGATCTGGGCCCCCGCTTCCCCCATTCACCACACGCAGAACTGGGGATCAAAGATGAGCCTTTTCTCTGAGGGCGCTGCAGCCTGGCAGAGGGAGCAGCTTCTCCCCAGGACTCAAGTATCCTACACTTGGTGGATCTCAGAAAGAGGAGTGTATTCAGCTTGCGCCCTTCACTCGGTGTCCATCTGTCCAGGTTGGTGAGCAGGGTAGAAGGGCCGCACTCCAGGGGGTTGCTCAAGACCCACCGCCTGCCTGCCCGCTTTAAGGCTACTTATTGCACCCAGCCTCCACCCTGGGGCCACAGCCTGGATCGCAGATCCCTGAAGGTGTCTGCCAGAGCCTGCCGGGACTCCCGCCTCAGGAGACAGTACAGCACAGGGTTGAGGCAGCTGTTGCTGTGAGCCAAGCATGTAGTGACAGGGAAGACATATGTATGGATAGTATAGAAAGTGCTGTTCCATGGCACCAGGTCAAACTTCACCAGGACACCCCAGAGAGTGACCACATGGTTGGGAAACAAGCAGAGGAAAAAGGAAGCCATCAGGATGCGGACAGAGCGGGCCACGACCCTGCTGTCCTGCCGCCGCCGTTGCCGTCGCCGCAGGAAGGCCAGAAGCAGCAGGTAGCTGGTGGTGATGACGCCCAAGGGCACCATGAAAGCCAGCACCACCCTCTGTAGCTGGTAGGCCCCCAGCCAGTACCTGCTGGGGAAGCGCAGCAGGCAAAGACGCACACCCCATACCTCACCCTCCACCCCAAAAACAGCTGTGGGCACCGTCACCAGGGCAGCTGCCACCCACACTGCCAGGGTGGCTATTCGGGCCCAGAAGAGTGAGAGGTGGGTACCTGGCCCCGCAGCCATGGCCACCACCCAGTAGCGAGCAACACTCAGTACCATGATGAGGAAGATGCTGGCATAGACGTTGAGGACAGTGGCCGTCAGAACCATCTTGCAGAGGGCACCTCCAAAGGGCCAGTGAAAATCCAGTGCCGACTCGGCTGCCCAGAAGGGGAGAGTGAGTGCCAGTCCCAGGTCCGCCAGAGCCAGATTGAAGACGAAGGTGTCTGAAGGTGGGCCAGGGGCTCGCCGGGCACAGTTACTCAGTACCCACAGCACCGCCAAATTTCCCAGCAAGCCAATGGCCCCCACAAGCCCATAGGCCAGGGCAACCGTGACCCTCAGGACTAGGAATTCGACAGGCATCGCAGCATCATCAGCACTTGGCACACTGCCTCCGGAGGCATTGGCCCAGAAGAACGTGGGTGGAGAGGCAGAAGTATTGAGTGTGGGCATCGCAGGGCATCAGAGATTGGTGGTGCTGAGCAGAGAGATCTGCAAGTGCCTGCCAGACTGGCAGAGGCCACTGCAGGCTCTCAGCAGGAGGCTCTAGAACTAAGTGCTTCTCTGGGGCCTCCGGTGAGCCCTGGCCCACGCCCACACTTCAGAGGGAGGGGTGTGGACAGGACAACCCACCACGTCCCTGTGGGTCAAGATTGGTGGTGGGTGGGGCAGGGTGAGGAAGAGCCTGAACCCTAGGGTGTATGCGCATGCGCCCGCCTGCAAGAAGCACTCTAAATGGCAGAGACAGAGGGGAGAAGGGAGAGTTACCCCACTGTGGAGGACAGCCCCAAGCCTCCACCCCAGGGAGAGAGCTGGAGGTTCCCTGTCCCAGAGATGACAGGAACCAAACTAGAGCTGCCTCTGTTCCTAACAGTGTGCAGAGGCCTCCCTCCTCTGTAGAAAGTGTTCCCTTAGGGCCCAAAGGAAGGGGCCTCGGAGGTGGTATAGAGGCAGGGAATCAACATGGGTGTCTGAGAGAGGAGAGCACAGAGGCTGCAGTCTCAGACCTGCTACTCACTAGCTGTGTGACTAGGAGTGTTACTTTGATTCCCTGAGCTGTTTTCTTGCTTAAAATTTTCAGATAAGTCTGCTTCACAGGAGTGGTGTGATGAAATGAGAGAATACGTGTGATTTGTATGTCTTTGTGTGAATATTTCAAAGAAGTTTGGGGTGTTTGCGGCAGAAGGGTACTGAGCAGCTATTACCATGCCCAGGGAACAGTGCCAACTAAAACAGGTTGGAATTCATCTCCACAGCGGTGACCTTGAGGCTAAGAGCAGGGAGGGAAAGGAGAGAGGAAGTCACAGCTTCCTGTTTCCTTCCCACTGAGAACACTGGGCCTGGAGGGCCTGTGTGGACGTGGGCATGCCCTCAGTTCTGTTCCTGCTCCTGATAATTAAATATTCCTGCTAACATCTATCATCACCCTTTCCCCCTTTCCTGCTCTAGTCAGTGGATAGAGCTCAGCGATCCCCCCACTCTCTCCTGCAAACTCCATGTCAGAGCTAAGGATCCTGAGATACACCCTCACCACACCTCATCCTGTCTCCCCATGATCTCAATCATGACTGGGGAAAAAAATGCTTCATTGGGCCCTTCCCTTTCATTGCCACATCTCTACCTACTGCAGAAGGAGCTGTGGTGGGGACAAAGAGAAGGCAGGAGGTGGGTAGGCAAAAGAGTAAGACTTTCTCAAGGATTCCAACACATTCAGCACCTTCTTCCCCTCTGCCGGCTAATTAAGATAATGTTCAATATCCAGTTCCCTTGCAGTGCTGGGGGAAGAGAGGGGCCCTTTGCGACAATAAATCAGCAGTGGGCTTTGTGAACGCATAGGAGAAACCCAGAGGTGAGAGTGATCCAGGCTGGGTGCCAAGATGTTGGGGCTTTCTAACCAGGGATGAGTATGAACAGGGCGGCAGAAGGGGAGTGCCCAGCCCCCGAGGTCAGGTGAACCCCAGGGGCTACCTCCTGGCCTCGTGGCTTCTTCTGTGTGATTGTATCATCACTCTGTCTCTTGGGGCTATGTCTATTTCTCTGCCCGCCCAGAATCACCTTGCCAATCTGGCAGTTAAGATAACTGGGCGTGTAATCCCAGCACTTTGGGAGGCTGAGGCGGGCGGATCACCTGAGGCTGGGAGTTGAAGACCAGCCTGACCAACATGGAAAAACCTGATCTCTACTAAAAATACAAAACTAGCCGGGCCTGGTGGCACATGCCTGTAATCCCAGCTACTCAGGAGGCTGAGGCAGGAGAATCACTTGAACCTGGGAGGTGGAGATTACAGTAAGCTGAGATCACAGCATTGCACTCCAGCCTGGGCAACAAGAGTGAAACTCCATCTAAAAAAAAAAGTCAGGCGCAGTGGCTCACGCCTGTAATCCTAGCACTTTGGGAGGCCAACCTGGGCAAATTCCTTGAGCTCAGGAGTTTGAGACCAGCCTGAGTAACACAGTGAAACCCCATCTCTACTAAAATGCCAAAAATTAGCCAGGTGTGGCACCTTGCACCTAGAGTCCCAGCTACTCTGGAGGCTGAGGTAGGAGACTTGCTTGAACCCGGAGATGGAGACTGCCATGTGCCGAGATTGTGCCACTGTTCTCAGCCTGGGTGCCAGAGTGAGACTCCATCTCCCAAAATAAAAATAAAACTGCTTCATGCTTTGGACTTATTTTCTTTATTGGCTTAGAGAAAATAAAGTGGGCCAGAATTCCAGGGTTCTGTTATTCATTTCAAACATCTGGTCCTCTGACCATTTCTTTACCTTTTTATCGTTTCTAGTCCTATGTCTTTCCCTTGGTCTGAGACTATCAACACTCCCTTGTGGTTATGTAGAGAGGTGATGCCACCAGCTGGCCATGTCTAAGAACTTCATTTGTCTAGCATTTTGTTCGTTCGTTCGTTCATTCATTCATTCATTCATTCATTCTCTCACTAATCACAGCATTCCCTGAACCCTACTGTGTGCCAGACACTGTGCTTGATGCTGGGAGGCAAAAACAAAAAATATAGTCACTCTCTTCATAGAAAGTAAACTTTTTAGATGGAAGGGATCTTTAGACCATCTTGTTCAACTTCTTATTTTATGTAGAATGAGAGTGATTTGCCCAAAACCACCAGGGAGGTGACAGTAAAGTCAGGGTTTGAGATAAAAGTCTCTTGACTCCTAGGATTCTTTTCCACTATATCATGAACCCTGAGGGAAACAATGCTAGGACGTGGACAGAAGGGCAGTGACAACTCCTTTTGAGATGATTGTTCACTCACAGCTGCTGGGAAATGAGGAGGAACTAGATTCAGCAAAAATGCTTGTGCTGTCCCCTACCTTCATATTACCCTATAGAGCCAGACTTTGCCAGTGCCATTTTCTTGTCTGTTTTTACTAACTTGTAGGCAGCGCAGTCAGAATCGGCCACCAGTGCCATCTTCCATCTCAGAGTCCAAGGACCTGTAGTGGTAGATTATGGTGTCTTCCATAAAAAGGACTTCTAGGAGCCGAACCCTCCTCTCAGTCACCTGAATATCCACCCCTCCCTCAGCCTGCATGTCTCTCCAGCCCCACATCCCTGTCCCTGCACTTCACAGCCTGGGCTATAGAGTCTCTGAAGAGGAATTGGAGAGGAGGAAGAAGGAACAAAGTTATCACTCTACAGAGCACAGAGAGGAGGGAGCTTTGCATTTGCATTTGCGTTTGTAGTAGAGGGGACAGAAACTAAACCCCTGGGGGAACTACAAATGGCAGGAGTAGGAAACCTACCCCTAATCCAAATCCCTAAACTCACATCAACCCAAGGAGCCACCATCTCTACCCTGTCCTATGTCTGCCAATGTTCACGGGGGAAAACTCTCCAGTATTGGTAAGGGGTATAGGCAGCTCCAATGCCCAGGAGCGGGTTCTAAATCAGTCTCTCATTGCTTGAACTGGGCCCCAGGAGGCGGAGGTTGGAGTGAGCTGAGATTGAGCCACTGCACTCCAGCCTGGGCTACAGAGTGAGACGCCATCTCAAAAAAAAAGAAAAAAAAGAAAAAAATCAGTCTCTCTCTCTCCCCCCACCACCTTCTAACTTTCTGTTTTGGAATAGTTTTAGATTTACAGAAAAATGGCAAAGGCATGAGAATTATACATCTCATTTGTCTTCCAAAGTAAAACTGGCAGAGCACTAAAGAAAAATATTGTAACAAAAGATGTGCAAGCCAGGCGTGGTGGCTCACGCCTGTAATCCCAGCACTTTGGGAGGCTGAGGCAGGCGGATCATGAGGTCAATAGATCAAGACCATCCTGGCCAACATGGTGAAATCCGTCTCTACAGAAAATACAAAAATTAGCTGGGCATGGTGGACGTGCCTGTAGTCCCAGCTATTCGGGAGGCTGAGGCAGGAGAATTGCTTGAACCCCAGAGGTGGAGATTGAAGTGAGCTGAGATTGCGCCACTGCACTACAGCCTGGCACCTGGCAACACAGCAAGACTGTCAAAAAAAAAAAAACACTGGGTAACCTCATGGCAATCCAAGCACATGGTACAAAATATAACCAGGCCTCATAGGGGCTAGAAATGGGGCTGTATACTCTCATTTTTTTTTTTTTTTTGAATAGCTGCTCCGTTATTCTTTCTTGTTAGATTTCCCCTTGTAAAAAAGTGGAAAAACATTTCTAAAACTATTTTTGGAGGTGGCATCAGAATCCCTCATAGGAAATCTCCTTGCTTGGAAAAATTATTCAATAAATGCTTGAGGTAGCACCCCTACGGGCGATGTGATGAACGCTGGAGACATTGGAAAACCCCATCCTCCATCTTTTCATTTTTTCCCATCACAACTCCTACTGCTGTGGGAAAGAATATTAGGCTAAAACAGCATGACCCAGTTGGGCATTTTCCAAGGTTGGGCTGATCTAAATGAATTTGGGGGAGATACTCTGGAGGCAGGTATGGGAATGCAGTACCACCATCTGGAGAAAAGGTGACTGAATCTTAGCTAGAAAGTGCCACTGAAACAACAGGGGAGTAGCAAGGATGTGCTCTCCAAGCTGTCACTACCTTGGAGTTGGTAGTAAATGGCCTAATAATACCTAAATGAGCACTAGGAAAGAATCACTGAGATTCATATGTCAATTTTTGACCATGCACCCAACAGAAAGGAAAAATAACTTCAGCCTAACCTATCTCACTTTAGAGAGACTTTTTCAATTAGCAGTAGAACAAAGTGCTATTGAATTGAGTTTGGAAAATCAGATTCCGGCCGGGCGCGGTGGCTCAAGCCTGTAATCCCAGCACTTTGGGAGGCCGAGGCGGGTGGATCACGAGGTCAAGAGATCGAGACCATCCTGGTCAACACGGTGAAACCCCGTCTCTACTAAAAATACAAAACATTAGCTGGGCATAGTGGCGCGTGCCTGTAATCCCAGCTACTCAGGA